GCCATTTCCGTTCCGTAGGATGTATGCGCACATTAATACGTTTTCACCTTGTACATATATTTCTTTCCTTGCCCCCTCGCAGATGTCCTCAGGAAACGCCCTTAAAGGCACCGTTCACCCGGTCCGTTCAGCCTTTATTTCGTACTGCTATTGCCATTGCATGGAACAAAGCCCGGACCTCAGTGATTCACTGTGTTGACGAGACAAGCCAATACCGTGCCCAACATCAGCGTGACCGCTTTGCAGGAGCCTGAGGAGCACTTCCCTCGCGTCACATTCATCCGTACCCTGATATTACATAGTCCCTCTATTGCTGTGACACATTCCGTGGAGCAGACAATATCGCGTATTTAAAGCGCCCAACGTAAGTGACTAAACCATTAGCTCTACTAAATATAAAAGCATTGCTGTGACAAATTCTGTGCAGCGAGCAAAAACTAGTGTTTCCTAGTGGCCAGTTAACGTGAGTAGTTAGTTACCTTCATTACATGTGGTTTCACGGCTGTGACAAATTAAGTGGAGCCGGCAGTGTAATAATTACCGACGTCCAGCTTATATGGGCAGTCATTTAGCTCCACTGCCTATGGGAGCGTTCCTTCCACATACTCAGTGGAGTCGGAACACCTAGTACTTACCGGCCGCCAGCTTATTATAGTAGTAAGTCAACCCCGTTGCATATTGCAGCATCACTGTTAGACAATATATGGAGTCGGCCACTTACTTTAATTAATGACCACCAGCTCATTTTAGTAGTGCGTTTTCTGTAGTGCGTATACTGAACCACATAATCGCTTCGTTATCTCATTGTCGTCTGACGATAACCACGCAAAACACCTTTGCTTCCTTGCATACCTATTTACTGTCTACCGGTTATTTATCTACCTACTTAATTTTGAAAGCTTTTTCACCCTATTAAAAAGGCTGCCGGTAAACACCGTTAGTTACGGCATAATATATTACATGGCAAATCAAGAAATATGCGATGTTTCTAAATTCCGCCATTTCCTTGCATACCCATGTCTTGTAACATGACCTCAAGCTACTGCAATAGCACAGCATCTTTTACTACACGTAAATGCTTCGTAACTATACTAGCCATTGTCTCTGCCATTACTGCGCGCTAAAGTAGCACCGATTACAACAAACATCTTTCGTATTTACGCTCATTATTTGCCCCTTCATAACCCCTCATTCAAACCTTAGCTTAAGCCCTTAAAATCACAAGGCCGTTTTAATTAACCACTATTATTCATACATTGTGCACCTTATGGCCCAATGGTTGTGTATCTTTGCATATGTTTGGAAATGATGTAAACAAGTTCTGCGGCCAGAAACTTAGTTTCTTGCAGAATATTGACTCTACATTTCTGAGGAGCAAAATCCGGTACTCAAAATTCCGCCATTAGCGTACTTGACAGTCCGGTTGGTTAATGGTAAGTCGGTAGCCGTGGTAACTAATTAATACTTGCATAAATTACTATGTTATACCAAAGCAAGTGCAACAACATGTCGAGCCGGCGAAAAATTATTTTTGTATAACTCTTTTTATCCGCTACAGGCTTTGCCACGGTAAATTAGTCTGGTAGGCCAACCGTGCGCCAGCCAGAGCAAGGTATGCATTTCGCAACACTTGCAAATGAAGCCGGTTATTTGAGTGAGTGCTTGCACCCTTTCTCCTACAGATTGCGATGTTATTTGCAGGATTGCCAAAGAATAATCACCTTGTTAGCATACGAAGTTCTTTTCCGGTTGCTAAAGCATATCCAAATATTTCAAATTCCTTCAGCAAATAGTAGGTGACTAATGGAACCAATGAATATTTTTGACAGGCGTATGCATATATAAGGGCGAAACGTGCAAGCAAACGCTTCTGTGGTATTGTGCATGTGCAGCATTATGTGAAACATTCGGTGCGACATTGGCTGACGTCGTAAGTGGACGACAATTTACAACTTGGCTAGCAAGTAAATGTTTAATTTCTGCCGCGAGCGAGCGGCTTAAGCACTGAGTTTTGCTGCTTTTCCTTGTGCTTTGGTATGCGTTGCTTCGTATAATAAATTTTGGCATACTTGTACGAAGCATGCTATCAAGTTGACTATAATTACCAAAGCAATGTTTAAGGGTGAAAAAGTTATATCGCATGCCTTTCCAGGCACATTTTGGAAACCTAATCTAGTGGCCAGGAAAACGTATCATTTCAGTATTTTGTAACATTGGATTTTACGAGTTTTTCAATCTTCAAATCGTCCACTTGTTTTACTGTCAGCCCATTCGTTGACACAATTTAGTATGCTGATTGCCTTGCTGCACCGTTTCTCTTTCTATTTGCTATGCTTCCTACGTTTGTAGCTCGCACTACATATATGGGCTTCAGGCGCCTCCAACTTATATATTGTCTAGTTTTTTAACATTTCTCTTACGTGTAACTGATTACCGACTACTATCCCCGGCTCGACACAACAGTTAATGACCCCGGCCAAAATACGCCCTCCGCCATTTTCAAGGTTCATTCTAATATGCTCGTTCCAGTTATTTTGTGGTTCATCACGAGTGGTCATATTGTTTGCTCACCTACCATATTTTTACTCCATTTTTGCTACAGATGTCATAGCGGATAAGCCATCTCCATGCGCAGTTAGCGCAGTAGAGCCTGTCCTGGTCAATACAGTTCCGTTATCCCCTACACCTTTTTGGGAGAATGACCCTTTCTTATGGTTTTTGTACCTATTATCCACTTCTTACTTCCGTAGGTTTTCTTCTGATATCGCCGTGTATCATCGGCTAAAAACTCGCCTTCCTCAGAGCATATCCCCTAAGGTGAGAGACCTCATATTTTGCTCCCATCTTGTAATGTGACACCAGACTCTTAAACAGGCTATTATTCAGCGAACCAAGCTTTCTGACAAGGTCCATATGCAGCAACTATTTAGTGGTCTGCACTTAGAAGATAGGGGGCCTCAGCCTTTTTGCGCGAATTGCAACAGATCATCGACACGTCCAACATGGACCTAGCGATTCGCCGCGCGCTTTGGATACATCGCCTTCCTGAAAGCACTCATACTATCCTTGCAGCAGCAATTGACTTGCCAATCGTAACCGTGGCAGCTTCGTCAGCCAGCGTCAACGAAATGCAACAGCCACAAGCTGAAACCGAAGCAACTAATCAGCTTTGTGCTGGCGCAACTAGGCCGGCACCCGCGACTAGACAGCCGCCAGCAATAGGTGCATTATCATCGCAAGTGGCGTAGCTTCAGCGCCAGATCGAGACACTCACTTTAGACTTCCTTGGCTCAGCACCAGTAGCACAAAACGTGGTGCCCCAGGTTACTGCTTTCACCATATGCGTTTCGGTATTAAGGCCGGTGAGTGCGTACAGCCATGTAGCTACTCCGCTACAGGTGATCCGCCACGCCGGCACGTACCGGCGACTAACTTTGTCGGCAAACCCTAAAGTTGCCTAATCTATATAGGAATTATGGTTCCGGGACCCAGTATTTAATTGATACCGGGACGGAAGTCAGCGTCTTTCCTCCTATGCCACGTGAGCCTGTCGCTTCTTTCTCGACAAACCTCAGTGCTGCCAATGGCACGCCAATAGCCACCTACGGTCATTGGTCGCTTACCCTGAACCTGGGTCTTCGGTGCACGTTTCGCTTGGTATTCACCGTGGCTGCAGTCCACGATGCCATCATCTGCATCGGCTTGCTCATGCGCTTCGACCGGGGGTAGATGCGAAACGCCAGATGATATCGTACACTGCAACGGAACTCGGTGTACGTAGCATCGCCACTGATATTGCACTCCTAGCACCAGTCCACGCCTTTCCTCCGTCCTCACCCGACTACCCCAAACTCCTTTCTCATACTCCATGCTCTTTCAGCCAATGAACGCTGCTTTGCCCGTGTCATCGCAATTCAAGCACTACACACAGAGCGATAGCCCACCCGTCTTATACCGTCCACACCGACTATCGCCAGATAAAATAAAAGCGGCTAAGGCGGAGTTTCAGCACACGCGGACAACAGGAATATCCCGACCTTCCGACAGCCCTTGGGTCAATCTATGCAGTTGGCCCCGAGAAATCTAGTGACTGGCGCCCTTGCGCGAAACCCTCTCTACCATCTCTCTCCCCACTAAATTTATCCAACACCACCATTTTATATATATAGATAATCCCACATATCAGTTTATAAAACATCGCGCTTCCATCATCCCCCTAACACTATATGTCCCTCCCTCTTTATCTCCATATGACTGTCAACACATAGAGACTCATATAGCGCCCTATACCCGCATCCCTCATCCTACCTACACCCCCACTCACTATAGTATATTACCCCCCTATATCTCATATCCCCCCCCCCCCCAGATGACTGTCACCCATATACACGCCGCACCATAGAGAGACAGAGACTCCCCCTCTATAATAGATCCCCCCAAACTCACCCCCCCCCCCCACACCCCCCCTCTCACACCCCCCCTCACATATATATATCATTACTCAAACACTCACCAACCAATAATACTCCTCTCTAATAGATCCCTCAGAACCTCTCCCCTCCAATTCTCTCTGCTTGTCCCACAACCTCACAGACATACCATAGGATCACCACCCCCCCACCCCCCCCAACCTTACCAATCCCCCCCCCCATCTGTATACCATTCCCTATCAATGTTAACCCCATCCCCAAACATCGATGCTTTAATCATATCCCATCAAAACCCCCTACTCCAACCCTGACCCCCAATAAAACCTGACTTTCTTGATACATATAATTCGCGCAGCTATTTTCATACCGCTCCCATGTGTGTCCTCACCCCCCCCATTCACCCCTTTCCATCCTTTTTTTTTGTCCCCACCACCCCCCCCCTCCTCCCCCCCCCCCTATAGCTCCACACAATATGTATATGATGTCCTAGTTCAATTAATTCCCCCCCCAATTGACCCTCCCCATATAATTACCTCACCCACCTCACCACACCCCTTCCCCTCCACTCCCTCAATAGAGATCCGCTCCGCGCTTACCATCTCTCTCAACCCCCCCACCACCCCCCCCCATCAACACACACCATGATATAGAACTGTTCCCAAATATATTGTCCCAACTGCCTCCTAACCTCCGCACACTCTCCATATGTATCCACCCCCGGATGTAACGCCCCCCCCCCCCTTCTCCAGTATCGATGCCCCCTTTGTGTTTCAAAACAGCTCCTCGACGCATCATGTCCCCTGCATCGACCCCAATCTAGATGGCCCCCCCCAGACACCCCCGTAATCAGACATCCTCCCCCCCATATAGAGTTGATGTTGTATATGGGGTGCTTTTCGGTGTCGTTGTGTGCCCCAGGTTTTTACCCCCGGCCAGTGAGTGTTTGGGTTTGGTACGCTCGCCTGTCTGCCTGTGGCAGAACGTTGGTGTGCAATGGTAAACCCGTGGGATCATCTCCAAGTGTCTGCAGTCAAAGGAACCCCGCTAAATAACGTTTGGCAGAGAACTGCTCGCCATTGATCTGGCTAATCGTCAATTCAGACTCACACTCCAAGGCCGCGTTTTCACGGTCTACATTGACCACAAGCACCTCATCGCTTTCAAATCTGCGTACGATAAACCTTCACCATGGGAAACAAGCGACCTAGACTTTATCACACAGCTCTCTGCTGACATACTTTATGTCTCATGTGTCGACAAGCACGTCGCCGACGCCCTCTCACGCGTAAAACTCACTCGCCAGTCTTCGTCCAAAGTCCACCTTGCCGCTATTGCATCGGCTTAGGCCCAAGTAGAAGGCCCACAACGCCTACTGCAGAACACTTCGCTGCATTTGCACGCTGTTACTTTCCAACCCACCAAAGGAAGCTTTTTCTGTGACACTTCCGCTGGTTGTATTTGCTCGCTGGTGACCGCCTCCTGCAGCTGCACAGTCTGACGCACGGCACTCACTAACACATTCCCATATCCGTGCGTCTTTGAAACTGGTCACGAAACATTTCTTTTTGCTACACGTAGACAAGCCTGTTGGTGCTCGGGCTCGCGCCAATTTTTACTGCCAGCGCTCTAAAATACATACTCACATACGCAGTCCACTTGCTTCATTTCCTGCCCCGGACTCCCGGTACTCGCGTATAAACGTAGACCTGGTAGGTTCATTTTCTCCTTCACGCTGCTTCCTGTGTACCCTGACTGGTGTCGACGATGCCCACAAGCCATTCCAATAACAGACTATACAGCGGAGACTGTTATCCGGGCCACCTTGGACAGGTGGTTCCCGCACTACCGCTGCTCATCTATTCCCACAACTTACCGTGGAAAGCTTTTCGAACCTCTCTTATTGGATACGTTCTGCGACGTTTAGGCTACGGCCGCATTCATACCACAGCGTACCATCCAGCAGCCAAGGGGTTAGTTGAAAGGTTCCAAAGACAGCTTAAAGCCTCGCTCTGCACCACCTTTGACCCGAGCTAGAGCGAAAACATTTCGTTTTTACTCTTAGGCGTTTGCAGTAGTAGCAAAACGGACTTGCAATGCACAAAAGCAGAGCTGGTTTACGGCTAAAAGCCAAAGTTGCCAGGAGAATTCGTTTCACTATCCGCATTGGACCATATGCCTTCGTCTATCCTTTCGTCCTTCCTAGTTCAAAGCGTGCGTTCACTACACCCGAGTCCGCCTCGTAAACACACAAGTGTGGTGCAACTGCGCAGCGGTGTCTCCGCATGCACGCACGTCTTTCTCCGCACCGATGCATTGCGGCGCCTTCACCGGCCTCCAGATAACGGCCCTTCCTGAGTTCTGCAACAGACTCCAAATCGTTGTACTTTGGACCAGAATAGCCAACTAACAAAGGTGTTCATCTACCACCTCAACGCGGCTCTACTTGACGAAACATTTGAAACCACTCGTGGCGGTCACACACAAGCCATGGCTTCCCGATCACTGAGTATCCCGAAACTTTCCGTCTCCATTGAGCCTCTACTTACCCCGCATTAAACCCAGGCAACCGACCGACGCGGCACCCAGGCCACACATCCCGCCAGTTTTTCGGATATTGTAAAAGCTTGGTGTTTTAATTAGCCCGCCAATTTTGTCTTCAATGTTGATGGTACGTTTTGTTCCCAAGCATGGTGCAAACGCGACAAAGTAACCCAATATATTTTGAAAACCTAAAAAGCGTATTTGATTTTATCACACAAGATATGTACCCGCTCCGGCATCAAGCTACTTCACCCGATCCTTGCCCACAGCTCTGAGTTCAATCTTTCAGAATCTTGACTGCCGGAATTACGTATGCAAATTTGAGTGACTCACCAGCCGACGCAAGAACCCTTCCTGAATAAAAGAACAGTCAGACGCCCTCAGCCGCACACAACCACTGAAGCGATGGTCCCCAAGCGCATGTCCATGCGTTGCGTACGAGACCGCAGGATTCCTTCGTAGGACGAGGGCCGTAAACTAGAGAGCCGTCGTGGGAGCTGAAACTCCTAAGCGCAGCGACGGGAAAGCAAAAGAGCGAATTTCATGTTGGCCATTTTCTGGCTTAGCCTGTTACTGCAGTCCGGCCAAGCCGCTCTGATAGCCCACCGATGATGCACTCTGGTCGACAATAATTAATAACAAAAGCCTGGACCAAGCAACCTCTGCTACACAAACCATTTTGAAGCTCTGGTTCAAGCCCATGCAACTACTCGCACCCATCCGCTCCATCCATTCTGTCCACTAACAGCTCCATCGAAAGCTACAATGCTTCAGCCTTCTAGTGGAAAGCCTTGTATTTTATTGGAAAACCTGCTCACTCAAAGTATTTTAAGGTTGGATTTTACGGTTAATATAACTTTCAAAACAACCAGTTGTTTGACTGAGGGCACATCCGTTGACACAATTCCTTTTGGTAAGTAACTCGCTACACCTTCTCCCGCTCTGATTGATTCTTTACATACTTTTGTAGCTATCGGAATCCATCAAACCGACCACATGACGAACGTTAAGCAAAGAGCTTACATAACGCTGACTCTTATGGCGGAGCACCATACCGCGCCCCCCTATATAAAGAGCGACAAATCTGTCAATTAAAAACAACCAAGCAACCGATTTTTATGCTTTTTCACATTTTTACACCTTCTATCAGTTTCCAAACGCGCTGATTAGGATTTTAACGTTTACTTTGCGATTTTATGGTAAATTGGACTAACACCGCCGGAAGAAGGATTGTCCGCTGCCGGTATTCATCGCCTATTTTAAATTCGCCAGGAACTTACCTTGTTTAACTTAAAGTTGCACTATGATTCAACTGTGTGATGGCAGTGAGTGTTCAAAAGACAGCATGAAAAATTCCTGCAACGAAATTTCTTAATAATACATAAACCATGAAATCGCTTTTATGAGACTAGCAATAAATTCTTGCGAGAACTCGAACGTAATCATTTTACACACTTCTTCGATTTTGTAGTATAACGTGTGCACCACGAATTGGCTGAACAACAAAAACTGACCCGACAATTTTGCTGACGTACTGCTTACCGCTGGAAACACCCATCAAACTTTCCTGACGTGATGGGTATTCGTGACGAAGCTGCAGCAGTGGCGGTTATAACTTCCGAAATGAAGTTTTTCGGCGAAATGACGAAACCCCACTTCCAGCCATAATAGAGGAGAAAGTAATAAATTGTGTTCGGTCACTGGTGATGTCTATTTAGAAAAGTTTGGGCATTCTTCACGTAACAAGGCTTCTAGTCATCATGACGTTCTGTAATATGCCGCAGTAAAGTATCCCTAACCTTCCATTGGAGAGTTCGGGATTTCCGCTTACGATATATCAGGCAAACTTACCACAGCACGGCTGCATACTAGTTAATGTGACTACTAGTGAAACCTAAGTGCAACAGTACAAGGTACGTCTCGTAGGGCCAATAAGGCACAGAAACAATGAAGTGCAAAGAAACCCTATGACAGACAATCATGGTTCTGTTATGCCCGGTCATGCTGCTTCAACAAACCCTGGGATATTTGTGTCACGATTCAACCCAAGGAAACCACCACTGTGCACCAAAATCCTCAGTGCTACTACTGGCCACCTAGTCCTCAACTATTCGCCTATAAAGGATGTCACACTCGTGATAGATGATAACTTGCACAACCAATGGGGGTAGTGTGCAAGTTAGCTTCACTAAAGGGCCGGCAAATCTCAACAGTTGCCAAAGTCCGCACACTACATCCATGTTCAACGGCAAGGTTGTCGTCACGTTTATGCTAGAGCAGATGCCTTCATTACGTACTTTGCTGAATATTCCACCATTGAAAATGCGACTCTGGTATTTCTAGTCTTATCTATCACCACCAAAACTATTGCATTTGGTGAATGCAACATCGGAGTCATTAAACGTTTGACAAACTTATTTTAAAAACATCATAACCCTGGTTCCAAGGGTATCGCTTCAGCTGTAAGTAAGCGTGGTGATAATATACCAGCAGTATTACTGAATACTTTTCCTTGTCTACACAGTCGGAGCATTATTCTGAGAGACAGGAGGAACCTGTAACTTTTCTACTCTATAAGTTTGCCCCCGAAAACAGATACACCTAGTTATCAAACCATTCGTCATGACTCAATCTCAACACGAGTGCTCGAGAGAAGTGTAATAAACAACGCACTTCTTTCTGCATTATTGGGTTCTGCTTTCTATCAGCTGCTGCTACTTAGCTGCTATCAATCCCGCACCGAAGATGCCACCTGGAATGGTGGCGAAACGTTTGCAACCAAGTTGCCCAGCTCGGAGAACTCCACAACAACTGAGAATAAACGTATTATTTGCAAATCTGGAAAAAAGGTCCAAATTATGCGATCCAGACTTTCTTGTGCTTATATCAGTGTGCACTAATCCAAAAGACCACGGATGGAAACGCCTCCGCTGAAAACTTGTTTGGACGGAATATACGGACAATGTTCTATAGCCCTGTGTCAAGCAGGAAAGAAAAGAATTATACTTATCAAATAGCGGATAAACTAACAGGCGGGCACCGTTTCTTCAAACTTTGTGACATGGTGTGCATGCATGACTTCCGAGGACCGAGGATGTTGCCGACAGGAGGAGTGCTCCGCAGAAATGGTCGAGTCATCGAGAGGTTATAGTAGGAAAGGTGAAATGGGTCAGGCAGGCCAAGCGGTCAAAGCCCACTTACGGTAGGGCAAAAAGTCCCTCAGAACCGCCATTCTTACTGTGTGGCATATTACT